TTCAGGCTGTCAGAGAGAAACTTCTTTGATGATTGTGGACGTCTGTTTGATCCCTGCGTGGCACCAAACAACCAACCTCTGCTCAACACAGTCCTCCTTTTTTCATCTGGAAACCAAACAGCTTTCTGCTGCAGACACACACTGAAATACACACACTGATACACACTGATACACACTCTGATACACACTGATACACACTGATACACACTGATACACACTGATACACACTGATACACACTGATACACACTGATACACACTCTGATACACACTGATACACACTGATACACACTCTGATACACACTGATACACACTCTGATACACACTCTGATACACACTGATACACACTCTGATACACACTGATACACACTCTGATACACACTGATACACACTGATACACACTCTGATACACACTCACAGACGAGGCCCGTGTCCTACTGCTGGTTGGTGCCATAATAAACAGATTATTAGTCTGATATTCACATGAACAAATCTCCAAAAGGCTCTAACAGCACAAACACAGACCCAGAGGTTAAAGGTCAGAGACTGAATTAGCTGAGGGGACACCTAGCAGCTCCCACCTATCTCTCAAAGAGGCCACGCCCCCATATTCTACGGCAGTTGGTGAAGTTGTGCCAGAATCCCGACTCTGCTTCTGCAGCTCCCTGACCTCTGGTGCTCTCCACCCTTCCTCTCTCTCTCAGGTGTGTATCAAAGTGTGTGTGTGTGTGTGTGTGTGTGTGTGTCTGTGTGTGTGTGTGTGTGTGTGTGTTTGTAGCCGATATTAGCAGCCACGTTTCACAACCTCTCTTCCTGCAGGACTCAGGACTGTGGATTAACATGTTGGTTACTTTTTACCAAGAAACAAAGGAACTGATCAATGATTTAAGTCTCCCTCTCAGACAGGCTCTGGAGGACAGGATATTATAAAGTTTTTCAACGCCTGGAGTAAACAACCAAGCGGAAACAGAACATGAATTGACTCCAAAGACATGAACTGTGAGCAGTAGGTATTTGTAATTGTCACATTGAATGTATTATAATCATCTTTTTAAACTCAAAATCTGATTTTCAGAATAGGAATAAGAGTTATATCATGTTTAATAGGAATTTGACGTGGAGCGCTATTGCCATCTAGTGTTAGAATATCCATGAATACGTAACCTTGTACATTTAGACGTGTTATAAAGCATACTCTTTGATATTAGCTATAGAAGGTGTTATTATATCTACTTTATTAATAGGTCTTATTAAGAATGCTGACTGTATAACATGGTTTTGTTCACCTACAGGCTGGGATTAACTGAGGATGTTCCCAGATGGTGTGATTTTCATCTCAACATGAATCAGATAGAAATGTTTGTCTAAATATATGATGTGAACCTACATCAACGTGGATCTGATAGAAATAATATCAAAATTAATGTGTGGTGACGTATATATGTTTAGATTCTTATTCTTAATCTTATTAAGTAAACTCGGTTTAATTTAAACAATTGTCCTCCGGTCAGAGTGGGAGTGACCCTTGGGCTGCCCCCTCTCTTGCAGCTGATAAAAGTTCAGACCTTGCTCAGATCTCCAGGTTAGGTTCTAGCTTCTTGCTCTTGCTTGCTTCTCTTCTGACTTTAGTTTAAATCACCTTAAGACTTTTAAGTTTGCGCCGTAGAGAGACAAATCTCTGCTGAACTTTTATTTTCAACACATATTTTTTAAAACATCAATTCTTTTTGCTCAAACAAGGTTTTTGAACGTTCTTTAAAATCTTTGCTCTTCAATTTTGAACTTCAATTTCTTAGTTTGGATTCATCGAGATGGCCATCCGGTTAATCTGAATTGGAAATCGACGTATCAAAAGACTCTTTAATATTTTTCCTGTTGGATCCACTTGGAGCTGATGACAACACAACTACGATGGCTGAACTGCCATTCTACCTCCATCCCAGCTGCACACTCAAGAGAGCACAAGGTGCTAAGGGATCTAATCTGGCCCGTGGACCTCTCTGGGCCTGAAAAGAACCACTTGCCAGAGACTGAAACGCAGGGCCAGTCGGCGGAGTTCAATCGAACAAACCTCACAGTAAGACTGTTTGTTCCGCAGTGGGTGTTGAGAGATTAAGTTTTGAGTCGTGTCTATTCAGAGCCCTCCTTTAAATCCAAATAGAATCCCAATATTCCTTTATCAACTTTTTCTTTTTGACCATTTTCTGATTAAGTCATTCAAACAATACCGCATCTTATCTCATTACTAAATATATAATGTCACCATACATTATAATTGCATTATCTCGATCATAATAATCATATTCTTTATCTGTTTCATCTATACCTTATTGTTTACCCTTTTTATATTACATTTTATATATAAAATTCAGGACTTTGTCTGTGTGTTTTCTTGTTTAACATTTCTAGAACTTACTTCTTTCAAGATATGAAACTGACTGATTAATGAATTACTACAAGTAATATTAATTTCCTTACTTTGTGAGGTGGTGCCCTTTCTGAATCCGAGGTTAAATAAAGATATAATATCTTAATAAATTAATTACGCTACGTGTGTGTGTGTGTGTGTGTGTGTGTGTGTGTGTGTGTGTGTGTGTGTGTGTGTGTGTGTGTGTGTGTGTGTGTGCAGCCAAGTTTGTCTTCCCCCTGCAGACTCTGAAACCCTCCATGTGTCTGTAGGACAGATGTGCAAACCAGATGTTGGTGCACTGAGGGGAGAGGGCTGCACACAGGCAGAGCGACTGTGTTTGTTTCTGCAGACAGGCACAGTTTGGATCAACATCAAGTCGGAATCTTTGTTTGTTCGCTTCGTCGAATGAAAACACACAATATCTCACATCTTCGTCAGAGACAGACGCCCCATCAGAGAGAAGAGGAGTAGGAGGTGGAGGAGGAGGAGGAGCATGAGAAATAACCAGGCTGTGTGTTAAAGTTCATCTCCTGTGAGCTCAGATGAAAACACGTCCGGTTCGACAGCGGGCAGGAAAACACCGTCAGATTACACACAGAGCAGTTCCAGCTCTGTTTCCTCTCACACACACACACACACACACACACACACACACACACACACACACACACACACACACACACACACACACACACACACACACACACACACACTTTAAATAAACAGGAACACTTCATGTTTTATTCACCAATGGTGCTGCAGATATTTTTAAAACTAAAATAAAAAGGAAGGACGTCAGGTGAGTGAAAACCTCGCTCGTCCCCTCCTCCCTCTCCCTCCGTCATATACACAGCTCCCTCTCATCTCCTCTCATCTCCTCCTCTCTCCTCCTCCCCTCAGCTCCTCATCTCTTCTCTTCTCTCCTCCTTCCCTCAGCTCCTCCTCTCTCCTCCTCTCATCTCCTCCTCTTCCTCTCTTCCTCTCTCCTCTCATCTCCTCATCTCTTCTCCTCTCCTCCTCTCATCTCCTCCTCTCTCCTCCTCCTCCTCTCTCCTCCTACTCTCCTCCTCCTCTCTTCCTCTCTCCTCTCATCTCCTCATCTCTTCTCCTCTCTCCTTCTCTTTTCTACTCTCCTCCTCTCATCTCCTCCTCTCATCTCCTCCTCTCTCCATTTCTCTTCTCCTCTCTCCTCCTCTCAGCTCCTCTCCTCCTCTCATCTCCTCCTCTCTCCTCCTCTCTCCTCCTCTCATCTCCTCTGTCTAATTAAACATCCGGGGGCCTCAGAGGGTCTCCGAGCTGTCAAAGAGCTGCAGACAGGTTCACAGCGGAGAACGACAGCGTGATCAAAGTAATGAACCTCAGGGCAGATTTTTAACCCCTCGTAAAGCTCCGTCTCACTCTAATGAGAGGAAGCGATTAAAGTGCTGGCTCATCCTGCTGACTTCAGCTACCTTCATTAGCACCTTTAACAAGGAAACAAATCCCGATCCACCATTCAACGAAAGCAGCCGCGATGGTGATCAACTTCGGACATTTATACCCGATATGGATAAAAGAACAGCAGAAACAAACATGACAACAGCCTGTCAGGATGAAATTCCTGGTTTGTACTTCAGAATTTTACTGTGAAAACGTTTAGATCAAAGTTCTTAAACTGTGTGAAGGAGATGAAACGATTCAGACGTTGGACGAGGCAAAAAAGTTAGCGGCAGCTCGGCTCGCAGCCCTCATAAAAAAACTGTTTTATATATAAACTGTGTATGTTATAGTTTGGGCTGCGCAGTGCTGCAGTGGTTAGCTCTGTCTCCTCACAGCGAGGAGGTTCCTGGTTTGAATCTGACAGGAGTCTCTCTGTGTGGAGGTTCCTGGTTTGAATCCCTGAATGTTCTCCTCGTTCATGTGTTGGTTCTCTCCTGGTACTCCGTCTTCCTCCCACAGTCCAAAGACATGCTGGTTAGGTTAACTGCTGACTCTAAATTGTCTGTAGGTGTGAATGTGAGTGTGGCTGGTTGTCTGTCTCTATATGTCAGCTCTGTGATTGGCTGGTGAACAGTCCAGGGTGTAACCCTGCCTCTCATCCAATGACAGCTGGGGTCAGCTCCAGCCCCCTGTGACCCCGAACAGGAAAATCGGTAAAAGAGGATGGATGATGTAATAGTTTTGACTGCTTTCAAACAGGATGTGTATCATATAAGGAGGAGGACACGTCAGGTGACCATTCAGCTCCAGCTCCTTTAAAAAACAAAAAAAACCCTGAACACTGAGCTGACACTGATCAGAGCAGCTCAGCCTGCAGACCCTCCTGATCACTTCATACCTTTACTTATTGAAGTCTGTATCTGAAAATAACATGCACGCCTTAGCTCGGTCCTTCCTGATAATTCTTCTAATAACACTTCAGCATTAAAACTGCTGCTAACGAGTCATAAAGTGACAAAGACATGCTGAAATATCGAATGACAGCTTTTCATTAACCGCTGCAGAAAGGAGGATGCTCGATGCAGACACAGAGGACGAGAGGAAGTCCAACATGAAGGATCTCCTCCGCTGAATAAAGAGTGCGGGCATGAAGGCTGTGATTGTGTTTCTTACCTTCCCGAAGTCTCGGACGTCGAACAGGTCAAAGGCCTCGAACAGCTCGCTCCTCCTCATGCTGAACATGTCGCTGCACGCCGCCAAGAACGTCCGGATGTTCTTCAGACACAGGAACTGTAAGAGGAGAGAGAGGATGATGTGTGAGCGAGCCGTGCAGAAATATAACATCGAGAGATGATCCTGTGTGTTATTGTCTACTTCACAGAGCCGTGTGTGTGTGTGTGTGTGTGTGTGTGTGTGTGTGTGTGTGTGTGTGTGTGTGTGTGTGTGTGTGTGTGTGTGTGTGTGTGTGAGGCAGCAGATGGCCTGGAGGAGCCCGGCTCTATAAAGGAAACATGAATCAGTGTTTATTGGCTCCATGAGAGCAGCTCGTGTCATTAATGGGATGAGGAGATCGGTTACTCCTGCACGCTGAAACAACAACAACAACCCAACGCTCTCATCTCTTCTTCTGCTGTTTTATTACAATCATTCCAAATGTGATCTTCTGAAGATGTTTAGAACAGCTGATCTATAAGCATCATCAGGATTATTACCTCTCCAGGACATCAGCCAACATTATGGAATGCTGCCTTCAGGTGCTCCTCGGCTCTGTAGTATTTCCGAGTTATGAGCACATGAATGTCCCTCTAAAGTCCTAACTACGAGAGGGACAGAGGGGTCAGATTCTGAGTTGTGACGTTTCAGCAAAGTGTCGGAAAGATTGGAAACAGTGTCAACAATTGACATTATTTTGTTGATAGTAGCTATCCTTTATTTTTAATAGTTTCATATTATAGTATATGCAAATATGAGCTGTAACAAGCAGTCAAACCTTTAACTGTGAATAATGCCAGGTGAGTTTATTAACATCGATAACATTGTTTACCTGATCATCAAACTTCATTCTGCTGCTGAAGGAGAAGCTCTTAGTAATTTAACATCAGCCACAGAAAACAAGCCGACTGGCGGCCATGTTTGTTGCTCTATTCTGACCAGACCTCTTAAATGTGTCTATGTTGTCATTATGACTGCAAAACTGGGAAGTACGATGTTTCCTAAGAGCACCTGAAGGCAGCATAAGAACTGATGTAATTAAAATGTGTTTAACCCAAAAGCATTTTTCAGTTTTCCAGTCAAATTAGGAACAGTGATGCAGAAATGAAGATTCAAACTAATTATTAGTCACACCGCAATCTGAAGCTCCCCGATGAATAATCTCAGAGACCAACGAGGCCGCTGTCACTTAATGCTGTGTTCACTGACCCAGAGGAAACAAAGGCGTCAGTAAACTCCTCTGCTCATTTTAAATTAGAGCTGAGTGAGCAGAACATTCAAACAATCAAAGAGCTCTTCTTCTTCCTCCTCGTCCCCTCTCCTCCTCCTCCTTCTCCCCTCTCCCCTCCTCCTCCTCTTCCTCCTCCTCCCCTCTCCTCTCCTCTTCCTCCTCCTCCTCCTCCTCCTCCCCTCTCCCTTCCTCCTCCTCCTCTTCCCCTCTCCTCTTCCTCCACCACCTCCTCCTCCTCCTCCCCCTCCTCCTACTCCTCTTCCTCTTCCTCCTCTTCCTCCACCACCTCCTCCTCCTGCCCCTCCACTCCCTCCTCCTCTTCCTCCTCCTCTTCCTCATCTCCTACATGACTTGCTCATGGACTTATAATAAGTGTGAGCAGCTCCAATGTTTCTTTAATAAAGAGGTTTCATGTACAAACAGATCACTCACATCAAACTTCAGTCAGCACCCTGACCTGCTTTCCTCAGGCCGATGTGTGTGTGTGTGTGTGTGTGTGTGTGTGTGTGTGTGTGTGTGTGTGTGTGTGTGTGTGTGTGTGTGTGTCTCTGTGTGTAATAAAAGAGCAGAGAGGGGGAAGGTGTCAACATACTGTCGTTAGCCAACGTGCACAGCCTGTGGTTTCTGACACAGGATAGAACAACGTTGTGTGATGATGAAAGAGAAGAGCTTTGTAACCGTCCACCACAGAGCTGAGATCAGATTTAACACTGGAGCTCATATTCTTTCATTCATGCTGCACTAACATTACTCTTGTCTCTAATGCAGATGTTTGCAGCAGTTGATCTGTCCTGAGAAGATCATTACACACAGTAAGGGCCATGTGGTGTGATGCAACATGATGCTTCCTGTTGTCCTCTGACTTCATGTTCAGGGACCGGAGCTCAAAGCTGTAAAAGAACTCACCTTTGTACCAGCAAACAAATCAAACTAATTCTGCAATGTCATTCTACTGCTTCACAATAAATGGTAAAAAAGGCCATAACGTCAGGTTAAAAAAGAAATATGATATACGTTTAGCTACTGCAAAGGTGTTTTCACATTGTGGTCGTTTGGAGAAGTTGTTCCATTTCCTTCCTCGGCCCGTTTCTTTTTGATGAATGTGAACACAGCTCTCTGATGGGGAACAGAACAGGCAAGCTTAGATCGTCAAGAAGAAGAGGTCTCTGCTCGCTTTCCATCAAACCCTGGAGCGGGTTGTTTACAGCGAGAACGCATTCAACACAGCAACAAATACTGGATCACTCGTCGCTCTTTAGAAGTAACAACTGATAATCAGCAGAACATCTCAGGACTCGACAACATTGGGGTCCAACAGCTGGTTTAGATTACAGTCTGTTTAGTCAGCTTGATGAACCAGTAGAATGTGTGCTTCCTTCACTAGAACTTCCTCGTTTGACAACCCTGTCTGTCCCGTACTTTTCGTACCACTGTGAGTGCCACCACTGTGCATTTCTGTAGACGGAGGAAATATAGCATGGAGGAAGCTAACAACAACGGCTAAGCAGTTTAGATGCTTGTTAGGCAAACAACTTCTACGACTACAAGCAATATCTGCACAGCTCATGTTTCTAGATAGACTAAAGAAGGCAGACAAAACAAAACTTTGTCGCCTGCATTGAAAAGATGAGGGGATGGTTTGAAAGCGACGAAACACTCAAGACCATGGTTCACTCTTAAAGAACGTATTAGAACACTTGTCAGCAGAGTTCATGGATGTAAAAGCTACAAACTTCATCTCAGATACCTGGAGCTGTGACGTTACCACACAGTGCAGAGCTACATGCTACAAGCTACAAACTTCACCTCAGATACCTGGAGCTGTGACGCTACCACACAGTGCAGAGCTACAAGCCTTAAACTGTCCACTGATCCCACACCAGCGACTGAACTGCATCAAGGAAATACTTTGTCACTTAACTAATCAGCAGATACCCACAGCCCAGGTATTGGGTTTTTACCTAGTACACATTTGAATCTACGTTGTTCCTATTGTATCCTTTCATCGATGAGTAATGTTAGCCAGGAGAAGGGTGGATGCTAACGTTAGCGTTAGTCTTAGTCAGGAGAAGGTTGGATGCTAACGTTAGCTGTGGTCTTACAGCAGGTCGTGGGTTGATGCAGTTTATGGTGATTCATGCTAACAGCTACTGAGTCATGCTATTGCTATACTATCTAATGTGGAGCATGGCATGGAGTTAAACTAGCACGTAGCATTTTGTTTATATACACTAGCATCTAATGCCCAAACTAACCATTCGTTATTTTAGATAAAAGCTAATGTTAGCATTTGACCCAAGACAGTGTGGCCCTTTTTCAAACCAACCCCTACACCCTCCCCCTCCGTGATGGAGTGCACTCCGTCAGAAATCCCACTCTCAGCTGAATGAAGTCTCCTTCACCAAGGTGTAGGGTAGAAATACAGAGGCAGGCTTTGGGACAAACTTCCCTCTCTCAGGTGGAAACAGGAAATATGTGTTACCATGGTTACTCAGCGGTATCTTGCAGGAACAGCTTTTTTTGTAGCTAATGCATTCTGTAAAAATATTTATGTAGCCTAGATTATTCTTCTTCTTTAGTTATATTAGTGTAGACTTTTAACAAAACTATTAGATTGAGCCTACATTGTTTATTGTAATTTATCATTTAAGTTAATTTATTTTAATTTTTAGATCAGGATGTCCTAAATTAATGCAAAGACAAGGAGAATAGTGTTGAACATCAGAGAAGCAAAAAGTGTATTTTTTATTGTTGAATTGAGATTTCACAAAGACATCAAAAGTAGAAAAATAAGAAATAAATATTAACAGCGAAAAGTTGTCTGCAACATGATTTAATATTCTTTTGTTTTTGCAACAGTCCCTGTAAATATAAAACACTTTACAATAAATACATATATTTGATCCTCAGTACACATTAGAAGTTGTTAACGTCTGTATGACGATATTAAATGTCTATCTTAGTTGGAGCAGTGTTTGAACTCACAGGTTGCTGTCTCCATGACGACCGGACACAATAGGCGTTGCACGTGATCCGAAAGTCGGCATCGGTGCAGACTCGCTGGTGGAGGGTTTTATAACCCACTACCACTCCCCGCTGGCGGACCCTCCGCGGGGACGCACAAACGGAGGGGTAGTGGATAGGGAGAGGGTGTAGTGGCTGGTTTGAAAAAGGGCCTGTGTTTTACTTCCAGGCTTTAAAAATGTGTGTGAGATGTGGTTAACCTCACAAACCCATTGTACCTCTTCTTTACGTGTTTTAAACTGCATTTAACTTTATGTTAGCTGTGAATGCTAAATGCTAGGATGGAGGCTATCAGGCCCTTTTTGTTTTGGTGTTCACAGTTCCGTTAAACTTTTATCCCACGGCCTGATGATACTTATTATTCATGATGTTTTGTTTGTGTGAGCCTCCTTACTACAAGCTGGCCGCCTGTTAGAGATGGCCTTTTACGCCCCGCCCACAAGAAGTGGAAGTTACCAACAGGGGAATGAGAGGGGGGGAACCTCAGACTTCTGACATCTTAAAAATACTTTTATGAGTTAACTCTGCTTCTTTTTACCATAGACATTTAATGCCTTGTAATAAAACTTAATTTTGAAAGGTTATTTATGTTTGTTTGTTTCTAAGTTCTTACAAAGACTACTTTTGTGTTCTCTTAAGTTTCCTCTTTGTGTTTGTCCTGGACTAGTCAGCTCTGTATAAATATGTGTTTCAGGTGAAGGTAAATTTGAACTGAATAACTGACACAATTCAGCAGTCCACAGTAACGCAACCCTGATGGATGCCAACCGTCACAAAACACCACAGAAGAAGAAGTCTGTTTAATTAGCTCGTTACAGCTTCT